ACACACACACACACACACACACATATTTACATTATGTTTTTCCAGAGGATGTGTACACTCACTGGAGAGACACAGAGGGCAAGAAAGAAAGCCCTACCGTGTAGGATGGTCATGCTACAGTTCCTTCTCCATTTCTCCTTTCAGGATTTTGGGCACGCATGCACATGGACTGGCATGCTTCCTGAGCCCCAGCATCTGGGACTTGAATCGCGCACTTGGCCATGTGGGATCCAGCCACCTTAATCACCATGTCACCAGCTGGCCCTGTGTTTATATGTTTTATGCTAGTTTTCATAACAATAAACATGTACTATTTGTATATAATCTATCTTTTAAAAATGTTTATGTAAATGTAAATTTAGTGAACAGTTATGTATTAGTTTCATTATTAAGCTTCTAAAGTGTCAACATAACTATTTTAAAAATTATTCCTAGGGAGCCAGCAGGTGGTGTGGTGGTTAAGGTACTGGACTCCTACACAACGCTGACTGCAGTTCAAGTCCTGGATCTAGTATCTTGAAAAATCACACCAGGTGTATGTACACATATGCCCAGAATCCCAAAGGAATGGAGAAGGGATTGTGGCATAGTCATGTCCTCTGGAGAGTGATTTCTTACTTTCCCTCATTCTGTCTTTCTCTGGCATGCACACATGTGCTATGACAAAAACAAACAAACAAACAAAACTAAAAAGAAAGATTCTTATGACTACTGTTACTATTGTAGAATGGACATATTGCTGGTTTCTGAAATGGATCCATTTCCAAAGTTGGCAGTTCCTTAAGAGTTAAAGAAACACACGGGCTTGAGAAGGACTCTGAAGCATACATGGGCTTATACAGGAAAAGTGGGGTAGTTACAGGCACGTAAATGTGCTTGTTAATTATGACCTAATATCATTTCCACATATTCTACTTACTTAGTATTCAATTTACTAATTTACTTTTCCTAGTAGCCAAGGATAAATGGAACGAATCACAATGATTATATATGTCTTCAGAAAAGTAAAAATCATGTCTTTTCATTGACCAAATTACACCACTCCAGCCAAAATATGAAACTTTTTTCTGTGGTGTTCTAGGGAAAAGTACTTCAATACTAGAAGTGTTTTCACTTCTGGTAGAGATTTCAGTCATTGCAAGCTGTTGAGTAATTTTAAAACAATAGTGGGACCAGCAGTTGCTGTAATGGCTATGTCGCTGGACTCCCGCGTAGCCGAGCATGGTCGGAGTCCCGGGCGCAGTGGCTTAAAACTCATGTGGTCGCATGCGCGTGCGTGCCCAAAATACTGAGAGAATGGAGAAGTGATTTTGGCATGGCCATCCCCCCTGGGGGAAGATTTCTCACCTTCTGTCTCTCTGTCTCTGTCTTTCTGGTGAGCACACACACCCTATAGCAAAAACTTCTACAAAACAAAACAAAACAAAACAAAAAATAGCAATGTATTATCAGAACCATGAAGCCCAGCTCAGACTACATGCTCTGCCCCTGTGTGATGTGGTCTTATTTGAAACTTATGCTAGCATATTCCCTTCTGGAGAAATCTAACCAAAGGTCAACACTTTTATTGAATAAGAATAAAGAAAAATGTACAGAAAAGGTGATGAGAAGTACTTTTACCGCGAGTTGTGATTTTTCATATCCCTTCATAAAAAAGCAAAAATGTCTCTCAGCACCACAATCATCAGGCATTGCAAACATGTAGGCAGCCCAGATGTTCATAAACTTCTACAGCACACAGTTTGGTATCTTGGTCCTGCACGTACACTATATATTATACTTCTCCAGGGACCTGCAGGTCTCATTCTCAGCCATGAATGGCAGGATATTTAACACATTATTGAGTTTTAAAATATCAAGGAGTCCGCAGGTGGTGTACCGGTTAAGGCACTGCATTCCCATATGGCCAACTGTGGTTCAGGTCTCAGACCTGGCAGCTTGAAAAATCACACCAGGTGTGTATGTATATGTATGTCCAAAATCCTTAGAGGAGATGGAGGAGCAGGGATTGTGGTTTTACCAATCCTTTTTGGTGATGATTTCTCTTTCTCTGTATCTGTCTCTCTCTGGTGAATGAATATGCCCTATGGCAAAACAAAATAAAAAATAAAGTGTCAAGACAAAATACCACCTATCCTTGTAAGTATCATCTGTAGTGCTTTGAAGAGATTATGGAAAGGGGGCCAGCAGGTGGTGTGATGGTTAGGACAGCTAGATCCCTTATGACTATCTTCACCTTTACACTCTGGGGCTCAACAGCGGGACACACAGACAGGTGAATGTGCCTTCATGCCAAATCCCAAAAGGAGGGAGAAATGGAGGAAAAGGGATTGTGACCTGACCATTCTCCATGGAAGGTGCTTTCTCACTTTCTCTTTTTCTCTCTTGTTTCTCTCTGGTGAATGCATGTATCCTCTGGCATTTTTTTTTTTTTTTTGAGAGAAAGAGATTATAGGAAAAAAGAAATCATAGGAAGAGTATGGCAATTAGCTATGCCCCCTGCTCTCATTTACTCCTGTATGCCCATCTCTATAGCACTAGTCTCTTGTATCCCAAATACAGACAAGTAGATACAAGGGGTACTTCCATTCCCAGTCTACCCCCTCACCTCTCCCACTCCACATAATGTGATGTGACATAGCACTTCAGATTTATTTATTGAAAAAAAAAAGCTATAAATTCTGCTTTGTATTTATTGTGTGCCAGGCATCATCATAGAAGTTTAACATATTTTTTTCTCAAAATCTGTATTATTTACATTTTAGAGTTGAAGAAATTGAAGCTCACAGAGATTAATTTAGACTAGATGACAACTAGTTAACAATAAAGCTAAGGAAAGAGATAAGTCTAAAATAATCAATGAAATAAATCTACAGGCTCTGGATATTGACACGGTAAGAGTGTGTCAGACCTCCGAGTGCTACCATTGCTGCTGCTGTTAGGATTTAGAGTTATGACAGGGTATGTTTCTCCCTCACCACTCCCCTTCTGTAACAGTAACTGATTTAAAAGCATTGTTGGCAACATTTCAACTTTAAAAATGCTAACCCCACAAGACCACAGTAACCAGGTAGACCTCCATTTAGAAATTTTGAAACTGGTTGTAACATTCACACCTAAGCTGTGTCATGTTTATCTTCTTCAACGGTGAGGAAAAAAAATCACTAAAATGAAGATGCAAAAATTCATACTGTCATTCTAAGATATCAGAGATGTAAACCACACAAACAAATCAAAGAAATAGCTATTTAATAAGTGTTTGGCACTGACTTCTTATCTGAATCAAGATGCTTTCTCTTCAGTTTTTTAAACCAGAGTGGTTTTTTTTTTAATTCTTGGGGCAGAAACTGACCAAAAGCAAAATTGCTATTCTTTTTTTTTTTTTTAAATTGCTATTCTTTTGAAAGCTTTTAGAGACTCACATTTGCAAGTGTGTGAATACACACTCCATTGCCTAATATTGTGGTAAGCTGCTAAGTGCTTCTTGTCTATCTTTATTCAAGAGAAAGGAAATCTACAAAGCTAAAGAAATGATTGACAGCCCAGCCTAATGCTAATGCAAAACCACTCGCAACTGTCAAAGTGCTTATAGAAACAATTTCTAGCTGCGTTAACATTGACATGGGTATGCATTTTGGTTCAATGTTTTTGAGCATAAACAGAAAGGCTTTAACTGGTTCAGCACTGGAGTATTTCTGCCCATTGGGAGAGTACTTAATACTCCATAGCCAGGGTTGGACCTAGATTTTGTTTGGCCTGAAGTTTATACAATTTGGGGGCCCCTCTTCAAGAAAAAAAATATGAAATTATAAGTCTAAAATGCACTGGGTGTTGGAGGAGCTCTGAACTTAAAGTTTATAAGTTTCATAGTAAATTTGCTTCTGTCTCTGGAGAACATTCTCATTGTGTTTTCTCACATTTACTGATGAAAAACACATACCTGATTTGTTTGCAAAAGGACCACTACAATTATTTTATGGGAGAATTGCAATAAATCAAAGTAAACCAATTTAAGCCAATCAAAAGGACAATTTACATATGATTCAGAGTTCAATAATAGCAATCTACTTTTAGTGATTAAATACAATATGTATTAATTCTTATTTGTTTCATAATCAGTATTCTAAAATACCCACTAAGAATTCAGAGCACTTACGCATACATTTGTAGGTAGTTAAGGATGTGTTTGTACTTACTCAGTAGGGGAAAAATAGAAAAGCTGGCTCAGGCTCTGTTTATGTCTTGATAGTTATTTGAATGAAAGACAGATGAAGAAATGCAGGATTTATTTATTTTCATCAAGATATTACAGCTTTTTTTTTAGATAGTATAAGGCTAGGGTAGTATCACTGAATATCTCGGAGAGATTTTAGGTGTTCCTGAGTTAGAGAAGACCATTACCTACATTGTTAATATCTTTAGAATATTACTTTCCTCCAAGTAATCTCAAGGCTAACAGCTTTACAAAAATAATGTCCTTGTCTTCCCCACCGTGTGTGATGCGTGTGGACACTGCTGAGTTCGGATTCTCGTTCCCTTCCATTCTAAAGAGAAAAACTGTAAAAAGGGAAGACGAACCAGTGTAGTACAATGGAAAAGCCCCGGGGGTAGGTGTTAAGAGAATTACAATCTTGGATCAGCAGATGGCGTAATGGTTACATCACTGACTCCCACAGAGTGTTGGACTCCCAAGTAGTCAACTGCGGTTTGAGTCCCTGAACAAGTGGTTTAAAACTCATGCTGGGCACATGGGTATGAATGCCCAAAACCTCAAGAGGGAAATAAAAGAGAAGGGATTGCATCATGGCCACCCCCTTGGCGGGGGTGGGGGGGTAGGCGGGGGTGATTTCTTGCTTTTGGTCTCTCTAGCAAGTTCATGCACCCTATTGCAAAAATCTCTCTGAAGGGACCAGCAGTTAGCGTAATGGCTATGTCACTGGACTCCCATGTTGTCAACCGTGGTTCGAGTCCTGGATCTGGGGGCTTAAACTCATGCTGGGCACGTGTGCGTGCGTGCCCAAGATCC